CTAAATTTACCCGTTCCCTTCCACGCCATCAGCCGAGGGGCCAAAGGAATTCTTGCTGCGAGTAGGGGCACACGCGGGAGCAAACCGTACTTTAGGCTGCCTGGCGCCATCAGAAACTGACTCAGTCCTGGTTTCGGGGTCTTTCTTGACAGCTGTTAAAAACGGTCTGTGTGATTTTCGTACTGAGGAGGGAACTCCAGGAGTTGCAAGTGGAAGGTACACATCTATGTTGACCTTGTGCCGGGGCGGAAGCGAGAGCACGGCCAACGCGAAAGCACCCGTAGTCCAGGACGGAAACTACAGGCGTACGTGGGCCTTTTTTGCCATCTTGAAGCTCTTCAAGCTCCACGCAGATGGACAAGGGCTGCTTACACCTGGAAGATACAGAATTTATTTCAACCCTCAGCTTGATTAACTTTTGAGGCTCATTTTCTAGCTGCTTTGCTGAAGGGGCCATAAAACTCTCCTGAACTTACCCAAGAACAAAATCCCTGCTCCGATGCTTTGCAACAGCCCACAGCCACCAGAAACCTCCCGACCAACGCAGATTAAACGCTGTGCTCCGTGCAGGTGGCAGCTCAGGCGCTGCCATCCTACAGGGAGGCTGAATGAAGCGTAAACGTAAGACCAAGGGGAGACTTTACAAGCGTTTCCTTCCCGAAATATTTCTAAGAAAAGGCGCAGCACGACTTTGTCCAGCAGGTGACTGAGGTGCGGACCAACGGAGATAACCCTCCCCGGCAGCCTCCTGCCTCCCTGCACAGGGCTAGCAAGATGCAAACGGCATGTCCTGTTCCCAAGACGGTGTTTCAACACACCGACAGGCCGGGGAAGAAAGCAATCACTCTGTGATGTCGCATTTACAGTGACCATCCCAGATTCTGGGCAGGGCCCCTCCAGCTGGTCCCAGACCACAGCAAGACAGAGAACCCATCCCCACTCACCGCAGCAGAATGAATGAAAACCTAAAAAGTCAGTGACAAAGACATCCGGGATGTTCCACGGAGCTGGATTCCCTTCTTAACGTTACGGTTCTCCAAGAACTTTCAGCGAAAGCTCTGCCTCCTGCTGTGCTGCCGACCTAGTTGTTACCTTAAAGCAGTGACGGGGAGAAGGAAGGAGACAGTGATGTGGGGGAGAGCAAGGGGTGCAAGCAATCTGTAGGTCACCAGACAGCTAACATCCACACCAGGCTAACGGCCTGGAAGGAGCAGTTCAACAGGCAGGCATTCTGCTCACCTTATCGCACACGACCAGGGATACCTGCCAGGGGAGAACTGGTACTGGTTACGAGTGTAAACCCACAGGTTGGTACAGAAGAGCTTTCACTCCCTCGGCGTCTTGTGCATCCTGTTACGTTTGTGCAAGGCACTAGAGAATCAGGCACGTTGTTTTGGGTGGAAACCATTGCATGACAAGGATGATCTGAGTTTGTCATGTCCAATAGCTTCATACAGGAGCAGTTGGAGCAGTCGCATTTTAAAAACTGCCATTAAAACGTCCCACTTCTAAAATGATCTCATTTTCCAAATCTTTTGAGGGATGGGGTAAATGGGGAAGTGGGAAATAGCTTTGTTATAGCAAGAAAACTGAAGAAAAACATTTGGGAACTGTACAGTTGATCTCCACTCTGATGCTGACGTTGGCAATTCCTGTTACCAGCATCAGTAAGTGGTTAAACCCAATAAAACAGATTCTTCCATTTTCACATCACAGAGGGAAGCTCTGGCTCTTGACATAAATGAAGCCACATCCAAATCCCTGTAGCGCACAGAGACTGCGACGCGTCCAGCCGTTCTTTCCGACTTCCCTGGGAGGTCAGAGACAACGACCTACCTCCCACAGAGAAACTGGAAACGGGGGCAACGGCAGGTACCGATGACGATAAATGAGGGAAGCATTCAGGCTATCTCTTCCTGGGAAACAAACAGAAATCTGACTCCTGAGAGGCCAGTGCAGAAGCGTGAGAGGAATCGGACGTGAGGAGGACAGCAATGCGGTGTACAGCAACACCGAAGCAGGGGACTGAAAGAAGGTGGAGGTTATTGAGATTACGCTGGGTGCTGCCAGCGCAGGAAAGGCTTTGCTGACACCTGGTCTAGCAGAGGGTGTCCCTGCCCGTGGCAGGGGGGTTGGAACTAGATGGTCTTTAAGGTCCCTTCCAACCCAAACCATTCTGTGACTCTGTTTTCTGTTCTTGCCAGGTGTGTCAGGAGGGTGCAGGGGACCTCGGTGGACACCGAGTGCTCGTGTGACATGGAGTGATCTGAGTTCAAAGCACGAAGCAGCTGGTGAAGGCTCCATGCAGGTCCCGACGGCCGTGCCATCGCCCTACCGCTGGCCACGGTAACTCGAGGAGCGCCTCCTTTCGAACCAACATGCCACAGGATGCAAAGCTGATTTAACAGGAATGTGGTAAAATACTGCTAATTTGGCTTTGTCCTGGCAGGATTTATCAAGTCCCTTCTGTCCTCTCTTTCGTTAACACCAACTTTCTATCCCATTTTGATGATCTGTGGCTTTTGGGCCTGTACATAACCCACAATAAATCTGTACCAGGGGGCGATCTGGTCTGGCAACAAAACCATTAATGCGTGCAGAAATTTATAAAGAATACTCTTATTACAATAATTCGTAAAGTGCCCTCAGGGAAGGTGCTCATAACGCCATGACATTATAGAAACAAGATATAATCCGATACATTATTTTAAAAAAAATTCTCCAAAGCAGTAAGGGAAAACATAAGAGGGGAACAACAAATATACAGGCAAAGACTGTCAGTCCAACAAGGTTCAAATTAATTACAGAACGCTTTCTAATTAGTCTTGGAGTGCTTGTAAAAACAAGGGAACGGGGGCAAATTGGCAGGAGTATCTTGGAAAAGACCCACATTTCCTAAGTTCTACCAAAGTAAATACACCGCCAGCAAGCTCAGTGTTTTAAGATTAAATGACTGTGAGTTACTATGAGGTATTTTACTAAGGAAATTGGGAAAAAACCCGACGACATCCAAAGAACACTCGAGACCCACCTTTTTTCTAAGAGGAAAGACAGTATAAGAGTGGCTATGTATGTCCACTGACCTTTAGTGTCTTGTTTTATATTAATAAGGAAAACAATCTTTCTTCTCCCTGTTGAACCCAGATTCTATACATAACTATATAATGCATAGTTATATAGTTATAAAAATACTCATATACACACGTGTCTATATTTCAGGGTCTTACTAGATTTCAGAGTATATATATATTTTTTTAAATGACTTAAGAGAACACAATTTGGCAAAAAACTCAAGCAACGGCGCGCACGCAAGCTTTATCTTGCGTGTAAATCACACAATTTGTAAACAATTGCAGAAAGACCACGCTCAGGTTAGGCCTCTGATTGCCCAGTTAACTGGTTCGAAGAAAAAGCAGGTGATAACCTTGAGTAGCTCCTATTAACAGATTTTACTTGTCAGCACTACTTTCCCGAATTCATAGCGTATACTCTACGCAACCACCTCGTTGTTTTGTGCTTTTACATTGGGACAAGCAGCAATGCCCCCTTAATAAAGCTATCAAATGAACTCTGGACCAGAGTCTAGACCGATACTTAGCGTCCTCTTGTTTCGGTAAGGATGAGCCAGCTTAGACAATCTGGGGAAAAAAAAAAATCATCTGGCCTAATTTCAAAGGCTACAAAAAAAACCCCATCCCCAGGAATTTGTGGGCTTCCATGTCCCTATTAATAGCAAAGTTTGGCTTCCGTGGCTTGGTTTGATCTTTTTAAGGTGTCTCCTTTTACAGGCAAGTGTAGTTTAACTGGGTACATTCATAGCCTAGGCAATCCTTACTTTATTTTTGCATTGAAGCAACTGTTAATTAATGGTAATTGGATACAAGTTGAGACAGACCACCAGCCTGCCACATCCCGGCGTACACTTTCTAAGGAACAGAGGAACGGAAGCGCCCAAATCTATCCAAGCACCCCAAGCACGGAAACTCGTTAACTCGCACATCAAAATGAGTTAAGAAATGGACTTTTACCATAAATACACTGCTCCTTTGCTGCTGTACTTCTTTTTCTGAGATGATGTTGTGGGAAGGGAGTGTTTTCTATTCTCTACCCATTTTTTTCTGTCAAATAAATCGTAGCGACTGTAACGGGGGGTGGGGAATGTTGAGCAAACCATTATCCTGACAACAATCTCTCAAATAAGGGAAAAGGAAGCAAAAGCAGAAGTGCTGGGCTGGATCATGTCCCTGAACAGGTATTACACATTATCCTAGTGGCTGCGTCTTTACAGGCCTCCCGCAGCAACAGACGTGCTGGTCCAACTGTCCGTCCTCCCTCGGAAACAGGAGAGCGCTAAGAAAAGCTACTGCCCCCCCTCCCCCCTCCCAAGTTGTGTTCTTACGGGTTTCCATCAGGCATCACTGGATTTCTTCCCTCAACTTCTTGTTGTGACCAGTATCTGCTGGTGACTTTCCACTGCTGCTTCTCTTCCTCTAGAGGATGAAAATCCAATTTGGTACTTCAACTCCTTTGTTCCGCTCCACTGGTTGAAAAAAATCTTCCAGGAGCGCTGCTTGTCCTTCTTGCAAATTCAGCCTTTGCTTTTCTCCTATAAACAAACAAATGAAACCCGCAACGCCTCCCCGCATCCCCTTCCCAAAACCGGAACGTCACCATTTGTCTCAGGAGCGTTACTTAGCAGTCTCCAGTCTTAGTACAGCTTCTGTGGAGTAAACCGCAGCTTATGTGACCCCCAAGTGTTTATTAGAAAGGTTTCAAAAAAGTGATCTTCGTTCCAGGAAAAGAAACACTGTTCGGTTCAGCGAGTACAGACGTTCACAGCACAGAGACTGAAATGGCTAAAAATGATCCTAGGGAGCAAGTAGCTCACAGAATTAGCAAAAAAATTAACTTTTTCCTTTCTTTTACAGAAAAACACTAATAGCTGCTCTGGTTTCCATACTCAGTAAGACAGAATTTTGTCATAAGTTCTTGGTTTTGCTTTTTTTCTCTATTGCTCCACACAGGTTTTGATTAGTGCTTCTCCTTGGCTACAAGTGCTTCACTTTGAAATACAAAGCTCTTTTAAAAAAAAAACAAACAAAAAACACCCCTCCCCCAAACAAAAAACGCCCCTCCCCCCAAAAACAACCCAAAAACCCCGACAACAAAAAAAATCTAACCCTGACACCACATCACCGGAGGGAAAATGGGAAGTGATACAGTGCAGCTGCAGCAACCTGGTTCTGCTGTTGTCCTCCCCCATCCCCAAATCCTCTGCATAATTTCAATCTTTAGTCGATGAACCTTTGGCAGGCCTTCTTCCATCGGCAGGCAGTACACCACATATCTCTGTTCTCCATCCCATAGACCTTCCGACACTTTTTCCCCTCCCCTCTAGGCTTCCTGTCAGAGAGAGAAGGGGAAGCTTGTTAACGAGACGCTTTTGTAGCTCTATCGCCCTACGATCAGGCCAACAGTCTCCACGCAGCGCGGCAGGCAGAGGAACCCAGCGTTTCAAAGGGATTTGGGTGGTTTTCCAGTCAAGCGGGAGCTGCTGAAGCAGCCACACACACACAGGGCTGTGTTTGCACAGCTCCAGGGACCAGTCCCCCTCGCCCTGCTTCTACAGCCTCTGCAGAGCCCGCTCCTCCGCCCCACGGCTGGTCTGACCTCAGTCCGCCCCTAACCCCGCTCTACACAAACGGTGCTTTTGCCATGGGAAGTGCCAGGCCACCAGGGATCGGCAGGGCTGGGGACGCCAGGCACAATCCTCCTCGACTCGGGCCTGCAGTACCCGTGTTTGCATAGCTCCGAGCAGCAGACCTTGACCACCAGGAGCAGCAACACCAAAGAGGGGAAAAGCTCCCAGCTCCTAAGACTGCCAGTCCTCCCTGCGCCATTTGCTCCGAGCTGCCCGGCTGAAAAACAACAAAGTGACCGAAAAGAAGAACCCTTCCTTTATTTGCAGCACGTTCACGTGTGCTCCCGCTCTGTCATTCCCAAAATCAGTAAGGCAGGCAGTATCTGCTTTTAAAGCTGGAACGACTGTCATGTTTTCCACCTTAGAACCACACTCAGCAGTTCCAAAGTTTAGAAAACGATCAGAGGAATTGCTAAAACGGGACTTCTTTTCGTTCAACGCACAGCAAGCCAGCAAACCTGAGGAGCGATGCTACAAGTCACCCTGCGCTCACCGCGGCGGCGCCACCTGTCCCAGCGTCTGCAAACCCCCTAATGTCACAGGCAGGGCTGTGGGACACCTGACGTGGGTTCCTGTGTCACAGGCAGACATGGGAACTGCCTGGCGACTCCTCTCCTGCATACCTGCATGTTTTTTGACTACTGAGCGTTCCTTAATGGACACAGTCCATGGATTGGGAAGATCCTGAGTTTGGTTTGTAGCACATGCGACGCTCTGAGATTCACGAAGAAAGTGAAAAGCATGAAATCTCCCTTTTGTCTCATACAGGGTACAGTCACTTTTAAGACTGTGAGAAATCAGAAGTTTCTTTACTGTAAGAAATTTAGCGTCACAGGTTTTTAACACCTTTAAAGCGGACTCTGGCCAAATTAGCTTTAATGGAAGTGAATGTAGCTGCGTGCAGGACGACAAGGTATAAACACGTTTGCTTTGATCTCATTTATTGTAAAATACGGTTTCTTATAATTCAGCTGAAGCCAGATACCGTGCTGACTGAATGGTGACGAATACGCGAGACAGCCCAGCCTTTCAGGGGAAAAAGCAAGGCCCCGCAGTGCAGTTCAGGATGCCTCAGCGGGGAAACTGGGCAGCGTGGCTGTACAGGGCAATTTGGATGCGCAGCTGAACTCCAGATACGCCTGGCATAAGGCCCGCAATTCTGCTTCACAGCCTGCCTTTTTTCATTTTGCAACAACTCACTTTTCCCCCAGGCTTTACCTTTGATGGTCATGAAAAGAGGTCCAGAACGACTGCTCTGAAGCGTTCTGCTAAGAAACTGCCCGACAACCGTGGTCACGGTTGGTGCTGTGGGTTTTCCCTTTCTTTGGCCACTGACATCTTATTTACTAGGCCCCCTCCAGGTTGCCAGGCTGCTGCTCTGTCAGCAGGAGCTAACGGTCCCGTACCTCAAGCCAAATGCTACTCTAGGCGGTGATGACAGAACTGTGTGGCACTGTTTCTGCTCTCCGCTCCCTGCAGGACGATTGTGAGTTGGTGAGACCTGTCAATACAGACAAGAAAAGCTGCTTGTGAAGAACGCACACACATGAATGCAGAATAAACACTTCTCCCAGAAAAGGCAATTCACGACGCAGGGTGAGCAAGGATACCCAGGTTATATCATAACACACAACATCATAGAATCGCAGAATGGTTTGGGTTGGAAGGGACCTTCAAGACCATCTAGTTCCAACCCCCCTGCCAGTGAGCTGTGGGCCTGTTTCGAGGGATGACCATTTAGCATTAGGTATGTTACATTGGCTCCATGATGTTTCTCTGTATTTCCAGGCATCCAAACAGAGCAAACCAGAATACGGATCAGCATCATTTCAGGCTTTGGGAAATAACAAAAAAAATGCACCTGTTCTTGTTTGAAGAACTCTGAATAGCTCTTATGAAAACTTTCTCCAGTTTAAGTGAAGAAAATAACTGGAAAAACAGAACTCTGGCCTGTGCTGAGATCAATCCCGATAACCCCCTATGAAATAAAAGGGATTTCACGTGTTGCTCTGGTCTGTGACCTGGCACTCTTTGGGGAGAGACAGCCTTGGAAAAGGGGGTTTGCTGCAGGGCAGCTCCGATGTGGCCCTCGAGGTTTTAATGGGAGCGCAAGGTAGCCCCCCTGATGGAGGCTGCTAACCAATGTACTGGATTATTTCCTCTACTCCGCGCTCTAAACCTTCTCAGCAGGTGCCCACCTCTGTGAATGTTCCGTTCCAAAAGGTGTCGTTTGGTCTTCAGAGACTTTGCAAACAAGCCTCCTGCATAAGTCTGGGGGTCGGCATCGTTATTCAAGTAACACCACAGCAAAAAGCTTGACCTTAAATAATTCCTGAATTATTCACTGCTAGGGTCTTATTTTGCTCCTGGCTGAAGGCCACAACCACTTAACATCTAAAACACCAGAAAATATTTACAAACACTCATTTTCTGGTATGTACAGAGCGTAGCAAACTTCATTTGGGCATCTGGTGCATGGAGTCACTACCTCCTGCAGCCAGGACCGGCAGATATTGTCACAGTCCCTGCACTGCCGTGACCTTCCATAGAGTCATGGAATGGTTTGGGTTGGAAGTGACCTTAAAGACCATCTAGTTCCAACCCCCCTGCCATGGGCAGGGACACCTTCCACTAGACCAGGTTGCTCAAAGCCTCATCCAGCCTGGCCTTGAGCACTTCCAGGGATGGGGTGTCCACAGCTTCTCTGGGCAACCTGTTCCACTGCCTCACCACCCTCTCCATGAAGAATTTCTTCCTGATACCTAATCTAAACCTCCCCACTTTCAATTTAAACCCATTACCCCTTGTCCTGTCACTACAGGCCCTTGTAAAAAGTCCCCCCCAACTTCCTTGTAGCCCCTTCAGGTACTGGAAGGTGCTATAAGGTCTCCCCGGCGCCTTCTCTTCTCCAGGCTGAACAAGCCCAACTCTCTCAGCCTGTCCCCATAGCAGAGGTGCTCCAGCCCTCTGAGCATCCTCATGGCCTCCTCTGGACTCCCTCCAACCAGTCTTTATCCTTCTGATGTTGAGGGCTCCACAGCTGGACGCAGCACTCCAGGTGGGGTCTCACCAGAGCAGAGCAGAGGGGGAGAATCCCCTCCCTCGACCTGCTGGTCACACTTCTCCGGATACAGCCCAGGATACGGTTGGCTTTCTGGGCTTGGTTATCACTGAACAGCAAAGCACCGACGGCCTCCGGTGCTCTAAGCAATTATCCTGATTGCTTCCAAACACAGAGAGGCTTGAGCAGTCGTTGCGGCACACAGGCTGCGTCTCCCCTCACATTCTCCAGGGGGTCTCTGCGCGATGGTTTCCAGGGACTGGCATACCAAGGCAGCTGAACGCTGAGCTTTAGGGTATTTTGGTAGGCTCTGCAGCAGGTCTAAACCACACCAGCTAGCTGTACTCCTCTGCAGGCGACACTAAGAGCACGGTAAGAGGAGAGCGTGAGAAGGCACTTCTTGCCCTCAAAGGCTTTCCACGTTTGAAGTGTTGTCTTAACACAGAATTAATGTGAAATGATAGTGTTTGAAGGGAGGACCTGGAGTTTCCAGTTGCGTCTCCTGGGGGAAACCGGTTACAGAGAAGATCTGTGATCTGTACACATCAGATTATCAAACTTAAAGATCTTCTCTCCTGTTTAACCTTCTTTGGGTCTTATGTGCAGGCAGGTAAACACCAGTATCACACAGCAGAGATCATGCTGGCATTCGAGACGACTCCTAGTCCACATCACACTGAAGTGGAACCATATGGTCATTATGTTAAGTCCTCCAGTACCAAAAGACGGACTCCACTGTTGTTCTTCACATGCATCATGTAATTCCTCCTCCTCGTACACCCCCATGCTGTGCCTTATTTCTTCTCCTAGTTCAGTCTCAAGTGGTAGAACCAACAGGAACTTCCTGTGTCACGCAGAGAATTCACAGCTGTGCCACCACTCAACCTTCTCTTGCACCTGCAAAGCCATCTTGGGAAAATGGTAAGAGAAAGTGGATTTCCCATCTGTCTTGGGAATCTACCTTCTGTGTGATTCAGAGAACAAAGGACTTTGGAGGTTCCCCTAATTCTCCTCCTTTATGACTCCAGGACTTACAGATGGTTAGATGGTTACATATGGCCTATGGTTAGATGCTGTGAATACCCCTGAGCCTAAAGCAGCCACACGCTGGATCCCAATGGATCCAGTTCTACGTACGGCGTGTTTTGAGGCCCGTAGGAACTTGCTGATAAGCACACTCATGTTCACAAAGGCTTTTTGGTGCTGCTCTGCCGAAGGACTTAACGCAAGTCACGATGTCTGTTCCTGGGACAGCAAGCAGGGAACGCTCAGTGTCACCGAAATTCGATGTCCACAGGAATGAACGGGGAAACACCCAAGGTAGGTGTCAAAAAACCCACAAATAAGACTGTTTGGAAATTTCATCTCTCTTGTGGACTTAACTGCTGACATACAGGCCTAGAAAGGAGCCTGTTCAAATCCAGGATTTAACAGCCCTCTAATAGGTCAAGGACAGCATGGCCGGTTCCAACGTCATTAGTAATGTGAAGAAACATGTAGACCTACACATCTGTGCACATCTGTACCTAAGCCTTTACTGCTCAGTGGTTTGTCCAGGCCAAACAAGTATCCCAAAGCCATTTTGGAAAACTGCTTGAATAAATATTAAGGGTCAGGCAAAATGCAATGGTTTGGATTTACTCTCTACAGTTCTCTGGGGTGCTACAGATGTGCATCTCATCTCAGGGACCACGTACATACAGGATTGCATGGGTTTGTGGTATGCTGACTCTGGCACCAAGTCTGGGCTTAAGTAAACCTCACAAGAGAAAGTCCCCTATATTGTAACTTTCCTAAAGTAGTTACACTCGATGTAAGGGCGGGAACTGACAGAGCTCTGTTTTTATAAGGCAATACCTTATTTACTTGGAAACAGGAGAAATGAAACTGTCATTTAAAAAACAGTTATTTAACATCACTTTGCACATGCAACCTCATTTACTGCATGTAATTTTCCATTTCAAGCAACCCTTAGTATCTCACGGATGGCAGAATAGTCAAATGTGTGCAAACCTAGAAGGTTGGGGGTTTTTGTGTTGGGTTTTTTTTGTTCTGGTGTTTTGGTGGGTTTTTTTTTCCTTTTTTGGCTAAACACCAACATGAATGTTGTTAGACAAGAGATATAAAGGCAGTTCATGTGGTTCCCTGAGCAGTTTATAATTCTGCCATCATCACTGCTTCCCTAGGTTTCTGTATCTGGATTATTTTTAAATTGTACTTAAATCATTGGCACCTCCATACAATTCTCAGAAAGTGATCTGGCATTTCTTAAATTCTTTTGAGAACTCTCAAGCCTACAGACACAGAGCAACGTTGTTGCTCGAACAAGTAAACTCGACGCATACGTGTCTAATCCTGTCCTCTTAAATGTCTGATTTACAATGTGGCTAATTGCATTTTTAGACTCACAACACTCCTGGCACTGATTTCTGCTACTCCACAAAAGGAGCCAGTTTCATAATTACTCCGTATCAGCCCCATTGTTAGGAAATCAAATTCTCGAGGAACTTTATGGATAGCCCGCTCTGTCGAGGCACTCTTGTTCAAATTGCTGCCAGCATGATGTCTTTCACTGCTAGTTGTTCCTTGATGGAATGTAATAAATATTCATTGGCACAGTGTAGTGTAATTGATTCAGCCACTTTCATTTATCAGCCCTGCAGGATGCCACAGCCTCTGCAGAAAATCTCCAAGATTTGCCAAAGGTTGACAGTAAGAAGCTTTGGAGATTCACTTGATGAAGAGAAGGGAGAGGAATAGTATCTCTTATCACCGTGCCTAATATTCACTCTCAGGACTAAAAAAAAAGCTATAGGGTTCTTTCGATGAGCAATCTGCCTTATATAAGATGCTTAAAAAAAATCATAAATTCATGAAGTGTAATATTAAACGAAATGTTACGATACCAAAGAGGTTTATGATTAGAGAATATCAATTTATACTGAAAAATGTTTTCAAATAAAAATCGGGATACGTTGCATTAATATTTATTTCTATCTATTATACATTAGATTCTCCACTGCTCATAAATAGGGATTTACATTTACTTTTAGTATTCACCACGCCAGGCACTAGAAGTCTAATCCCTCTGAACCCTTCATAAAGGTTTTTAACTCCCCCTACAGTATCCACACCTACACCGTGTTACATTTAGGGCTACTGGAGGTCTATGTTTAAGCAAACGTCCCGCTTCTGCAGTCCTGTTCATGAAGACAGGCCTTGTACACTAGTTTTTTTGAAGAATGGGTTGGAGTTGGCTTTACGTGCAACACACATCTAATGGATGTACGTATTACATCCCATCTTCGTTAAGCATGTGTCAGACTGCGCTATGTATTAATATCAAAATGCAACATATATTGAGCATGTTTTCTGTAGAAAAGTACAGAATTTTCTGATATTAATAAGGACTGCATATACTGTAACCTGCTAGAATCAGACTTTGCATTTCATCTTAGGGTTTCTTTCAGCTGCCTTTCAAATATGCTCATCTCATCAGCCTGTTAGCATAACCATCACCTCGCTGATTTTCCATCTACTTCTGTAAGAAATCTCTTAGTGGCAAAACCCCAGCATATAGTCCCAGGCTCTGCACCTACCAGAATGTTCTTTTGTAAGCACATAGTTTTAAAAAATACATATATACTCTAGATCCAATTCTCTCCTTGTAGACACTGATGCAAAAAAGCCCCAAACCTGTACTGAACTGAGGAGACTGCCAAAAGTGTTAAATCGGCCATGCTGGCAAACTGAGGCATGTATTTGATTTGTTTCTTTTCAGTTCCTGGTATATCAAATTCACTTCTATCAGGAGACACTGCGAAACCAAATAAAACGTTATAAAAATGTATTATTTTTGCTTTGTTTTTTGCTGTCATTCACTTACTGGAATGCCGGTGAAGGTAACTGGAGGCGACTGCCAAGAGATGCTAAAGCTACTGCCGTTGGGAGTGAATTTTGCTGACCCTGGAATGTTCACCGGAGGGGTGGCCTGTGTGAAAAGAAAATGTTATTCCAGTCAGAAGAACCATTCCTCTTCCCAAGCACCTCAAGGGATCTTTCACTCCTTGAAACTGGAAATATATGAGAGACTTTCCGAGGTGGGAAAAACCGGCACGGTGGCAAGCATTTTACCCTGGGAGAAGGATAATCATGGATAAGCCAGTAAGGAAGGGACATATTTATACACCACTGTTCTTAAAACCTTGTTTTGAGAAAGGCGACAGCTCTCACAAGAATCCACACCAAATCCTCAAAAGCTAGGTCTGATAAAAAACCACACAAAATCAAACATCACATACAAATAACACTCAAAATAAGGCCAGCTAGCAGCAAAAAAAATCTTACAAACGATCACCTGTCCCATGATGGCACCTGGTTTAAACAGCTGAAGACTGGCTGGTGAGGCGTCCTGGCCAACAGGGTTAATGATAACAGCAAGGTGGGCCATTTCTCCATTATCAGATAAAGGTTCTTAAGACTCATCCTCTCTTTCCTATTAAAAACAAAGAGCTGAAAATCATCCTTGGGATTCAAAAAAACAGCTCTTAAAAGACTAAGCTAAAGCAAATATATGAAGGGCCCCTGGGCCCCTTCAACTCTTACGCTCCTCCCATCTGGGCTGTAATACCCCGCGCTGCCCTGGGGTGCAACAGCTGATAACCTGAGCTCAGACCTTGAGCATCTTTCATCTTGTGCCTTCCCTCTGGTTTTCCCGCTGGGCTCTGAGCCCTCAGGAATTCTCCGCTGCCCCTTTTTGAATCCCGTTGAATTTACGGAGTCAGGAAATTCATACTTCTGCAGTTACCCTGCCTAGCAGGAGCACGAGCAGCCACCATGAACACAGGCTCCCTGCGACTTCTGAATTTCAAGCGTTCAGAGCAACAAAATAGGCTCCTTGGTTTAAACTTCGGAAGAACGTGCTATTAAAAAAGAGCTTTTACTTCTGCCTTTCAGCTGCCCGTGCCTGACAGTACTGCAATACGCTTGCTTAAACAGCGTTTGCGTTTGAGGCGGCTGAAGTTGTCTCACCCCTTCAGGGAAGGGAGCGCTTCCCTGAGCCGTCGGGCAGCGAGGGGTGACGGCAAACTACAACCTGACGGTCCCCATTAAAGACAACCCTCCGAGTAAACAAGTGCTGAAGCAATCCCCTGGAGTCTCTCCAAGGAAAAGAAACCGAGATCACCGGATGCCTCTGTCCATGGCGGAGATGGTCTGCAGGCTGCCCAGCCTGCTGACAGCTCCAAGGGAATCCACACAGACAGGCGGAGCAAACGGCCAGTAAGCTCCGCAGAACACAAAAACCTCGCTGAAGGGCAACCAGAAAAATTTGGCAACTCCAGATGGTAGCAGTAGTGCTCCATTCCAGCCCTGCTCAAACGGGAAGGGTGAATGACCACAGCACTCCCGCCAGAAAGGACTGGAGGGCAGTGAGGCGGCAGCGCCTCCCCTCAGCATCCCACTGGGATATCAGCTCAAAGCTGGGGTCAGCACAGCAGCTGCCTCAGGTGTTCGAGTAAGACCCGCAAGGGAAATCCTAGATGCTGGACGAGCCTGCCTGCAGTTCCTCTGTAAGTAAATTTAACAGGTACAGGCACTAGTGTCATAATGAAACATGAAGTGTGAGAAGTTTAAAACGGCTGTAATTTGTAGTTGCTAAAACACCATGGTGGTCAATTCTTTGTTCTCTGTGCCTAAATGCCTACCTCAGACATGGCCAGGTTTGGACAGTCAACCCCCTTGTTCATTTGTTTCCCAGACACGCATCTTTGCTCATCAAGCATCACGCACACTCACCTTCTTCAGGCTAACACTTTAGACGGTCTCCTCCATAAGGTCAGCAACCACCATGTTACAACGAACCGTAGAGTTTCTGTACCCTGATCTCACTCTGCTTAGAGACCTCCATCTCATTTTCAATCCAAATACACTCATGGATAATTTATAAGTATTTACTTGTGCCAACACTGCCCTTATATCTGAACATCCTTGAACTTGGCTGACCTCTACTCAGGATCTCAGCTCAGTTATCCAGGGGTCTTGTACACTTTCCTAGGTATTTCTTACACAGGAAAGCTCACAGCCTTCTTTTTCCCTTCACAGCTCTACTGTTGTTGGCTCACAGTCCTTCTGTGCTTGAATAACGAACATGTATTTCCTCCTCATCTAATTTGCTAACTACCCCAGTTTATAGCAGAAAAATCTCATTAGTTCCTAAGGTGCAGGCCTTTGCATGTTCTGCCATTAAACTGCATCCAAACCCTATTACTCTTAAGATCACCCAGTCACGTAAGCATGACACACAAATTCTTGTACGGCTGACGTCCCCTGAGTTTGTTACCAGCAACATTTCTTACAGTGTTTGTCTAGTACCAAAATGATATAATGAAAAGAGATCAGGCCCAAATACAGCTTTTCATCTAACTCCACTGGTAACATTCAAAAGCCCTTTCAAAATAACTCACTGCTGTTCTCACTGACTCCCCAACTCTCTCCCCTACACTAAATTTAATCTCTAGCCTAACAAATTCTGCCTATATTGTTTTAGGATCAAATGCTCACCTCGAATCCAGAGGGATTTGTTCTGTTACTGCTGCTTCGTTGCTGACAAAGCTACCTTGTCCGAGGAAGGCATTAGACTGTACTAGCATAACCTTTCTTTGGGGCTCACCTCATCTGCTGTACTTTCCACAATTTCTTAAATTATTCTTCTAAATCTTTCCTCACCTCTAGGACTGGGCCAGAGAAGGCTGTCAGGACTGGCCTGATCGCTGTTCCCTTTACACTTTTCTTACAGGTGTAATATGAGCCATCTTCCAGTCATAAGGGAAATGGCAACTAACAGATCCATTTAGGATTCCTGTGACCCAGCTTTGAGTTCTGTAATTTTTTTTTTTCCCTTTTTTACCAGGAATTCTGTGATGAAAATTATTCAGCCTTCCTTATGTGAGTACCTTGAGCTGTGAATTTTACCTCTCCTCCCAGTGAAGTAACTTCCACTTTCATGCTCTCCTTCATACCAGAGATTGTTTTCATCACTACATTCCCATTCAATACTTTGTTTCAGTTTGGAGACAGATATTTTTATCAAAAAATTGACAAATATTTTATCAAAAGTAAAAACAGTTTTAAAATTCTGTATATGGCTCACTCCAGCAAGCAAAACATCGGAAATATGGTGGTATTAAAGATGCTGCCATCCCCTTCCTTCTCTTGCATTCCCTTTCACACAACAGATTAGTCACAAGAATGCTTAAATGCTACAAGTAAAAGCTGGGCTCAATTCCTCTTCTTGCTGGTGAGAGCTGAGCATCTACCTTGCCTGCTGCAGAGTGCTCAGACAGACCCTGGCACAGGACGCCACTGACATGCCCTGCAGAACCTGGCTCCTTTGCATGGAAAACCCGAATGTGAGCTGGAGCAGG